GTCCCGGGGCAGGAAAGACGCGGAAACCATACCTGTGCTTTGGTGCCCGGCCTGTTTCGCCTCAGCACTGCTGTTCCCTCCGCCATGACCATAGTGCCAGAGTCTGGGCGGCTGGAGTCTGTACCCGGATGTAGAGGACGGCTGCCTGCGCGGGGGGCGGGGCGAAGCGGCGTTCTCGGTCCAGGCGCCGGGGAGGGACCGCAGGCAACGGAACAGCCGGAGCCGGCGCGGGGCAGGACGGGAAGACAGGGAGGGGTTCCAGGAAGGGCTGTTCGCCCAGGGGGTAGGGTGCACGCTGGAATAGCCGGAGATGCTCAGCCGGCGACTCCGAACCTAGGAGGGATGTGAAAGCGGGACTGCCCAATGGCCGCTTTGGCTGGTCAGCGGTCCAGCACGGAGGGTAGTGATCCGGGATGGCTGATTCGACCGTGCGTACCCCACCGTAATACGTTGTCGCTTCTCCCTGGGCTCTCGTTAATCTAGAAGGACAAAGTTTGCACAATGGCGACCGTTTCAGTAAACCCATGTGCAAGCAAATACCTAGCAAAGCATGCATGATTCTTTTCCCAAATCCGCCTAGAGATAGAGAATAGAGAAACGGATCAGCGATTTTACCCAGAAAATTACACAGAAGCTTCCTGAAATCAAGTCTGAAATCAGACTGGGAGTTTGAATGTCAAATGTTATTTCCACCAACCACTGACTTCAAAGCCAAGGACCTTTTCAATGACAACGGGGTTGTGGAGGATAGACGCAAACGCCAATTATCCGAGATCAAATGGACAACTTGTAATGTACGTTGCGCCATTGCAGGATTAGGTCGTGTTTTTGTGAGTCAGTGCAGAGAAAATAATAGTCCTTGAAAGATGGTGGGAGGTTTACATCTTGCAGGAGTCCACATTTCCTGTGCTGCAAGTTTTAAATGTTCTCAAGTCAGGAGAAACTTTTTTTTTTCTTGCTTAAAACCCTTAAGTCTTTGATCTGGGATGAGAGTGACCCTGAATACCATGATAAGACAGTTCAAAGACTAAAGAGTACATAGGGGCCGGCAGGTGAGGCGGTTGTTAAGGGTGCGGTTCAAGTCATGGACCTGGATGGCTTGCTTTCTCACTCTCTCTCTCTCTGTCCCTCTCTGGTAAAGTTTAAATAAATAAATAAAGATAAAATAATTTTTTAAAATTATTTTAAAAAGACTAAAGAGTACATAAGGAAGTATGATTTCCAAACATGAAAACATCACATGTCCCTAGATAAAGATGTATTCAAAATGCTGAGAGAAGAGCCATGTAACAGCCTTCAAAAATGGAAGCTGAGAGTAGAGTTGGTTAATTTGAGATTCTGAAGCTGAATAATTGTGACTTAGAATTTAGAAGAGTTTAACAACAGGAAGTTAGTTTGCATTTACATAGGATTCCTTCTTTCTGAAAGATGTATAGGCTAGGTAACAAAAGCAAGAACCTACTTCTGTCCTCCCAGAAGTGGGTCCTAGATTTATTTTTTACAAGAGTTATTTAGTTTTATTTATTATAGATAGTCTTTTCTTTTGATCAGAGAAAGAAAGTGAGAAAGCAAGCTGCCAGGTCTGGTACTAGCACCTCTGTCTGCCATGTGGGAGCCCAGCACCTTAACTACTATGCCACCTGCCAGCCCAGGCCTTGATGTTATTGTTTTTTAGGTTTTTGCCATAGGGTGGGTGTGCTCGCTGGAGAGAGAGAGAGAAAGGAAAAGTGAGAAAGCTTCTCCCCTCAAGGCGAGATAGCCACACTGCAATCCCTTTTCTTCCGTTCTTGGGATTTTCACAAGCGCCAAGGGTCATTTTTTTCAAGCTGCCAGGTCCAGAACTCAAACCGTGGTCACCCATATAAGAATTTAGCACCTTATCCACCACACCACCTGCTGACCTGGTCCTAAGATATTAAAAGATTTTTTTAGAGTTCCGCGTGGGGCTGTCAAGGAGACATGGCTGCCCAGAGAGAGAAACTGGTAGTCTGGGCAGATTCAAAGCATCTTTAAGAGAATATGTCTCGGGGAGCCCCAAAGAACTGATGAAGTTAAGTGTGCCATCATTAGTTTATGCTGTTCAGAACAACATGGCTTTCTTAGCCCTTAGCAACCTGGATGCAGCAGTGTACCAGGTGACCTACCAGTTAAAGATTCCTTATACTGCTTTATGTACTGTTTTAATGTTAAACCGGACACTCAGCAAGCTGCAGTGGATTTCAGTTTTTTGTTGTTTTTTTTTCTCTCTCTTTTTTTTTTTTTTTTGAGAGCTTTTCGCTATAGGGCGCGTGTGCTCGCCAGACAGACAAAGAGAGACATAGAGACAGAAAGCAAGAAATCACCCCCCAGGGGTGATGGTCACGCTGCAATCCCTTCTCCTCCATTCTCCTCTCGGGATCTTAGGCACGCACGCACACACACCTGGCGTGAGTTTTAAGCCACCGGGTCCGGGACGCAAACCACGGTCGACTATGTGGGAGTCCAGCAACATAGCCATTACGCTAACTGCTGGTTCCCTGGATTTCAGTTTTTATGCTGTGTGGTGGAGTCACACTTGCACAGTGGAAGCCAGCCCAAGCCACAAAAGTTGTGGTGGAACAGAATCCGTTATTAGGGCTTGGCGCTATAGCTATTGCTATATTGTGCTCAGGATTTGCAGGAGTGTATTTCGAGAGTTTTAAAGAGTTCAAACATTTCCTTATGGGTGAGAAACATACAAATGTACCTATCAGGGATTGCTGTGATGTTAGTTGGTGTCTACTTGTCAGATGGAGCTGGAATTAAGGACAAAGGATTTTTCTATGGTTACAGGTATTATGTCTGGTTTGTCATTTTTCTCGCAAGTGTTGGAGGCCTCTACACTTCTGTTGTGGTCAAGTACACAGACAACATTATGAAGGGCTTTTCTGCAGCAGCAGCCATTATCCTGTCTACCGTTGCTTTGGTGATGCTGTTTGGGTTACAGATAACACTCACCTTTGCTCTGGGTACCCTTCTTGTATGTGTTTCCATATATCTCTATGGATTACCCAGACAAGACACTACATCCATCCAACAAGGAGAAACAGCTTCAAAAGAGAGAGTCATTAGGGTGTGATTTTCAGCCTCAAAAGAGATTCCAGTAAGACTAAATCATCTGCATTAAACTAGAGCCTTAAGTCAATTCCACAAGATAGCCTAAACAAACAACAACAACAAATTAACATATGGCAGAAGAATTAAGAAAGCTATCTGAGTGAACTGCTAATATGGAAAGTTAATGTGGACCTGTTTGGGGTCAGACGGTATTGTTTTAGAATGAAGGAATTTTATTACGTACATAACAAGTATGGAGTGATAGGGAATTTGAAAAATCATGTGAGGCTACAGTATACAAGGTTCAGGACAATGTTTAAGGGTAAAAGTGTCAAAGCCATTTCTGTACTATCTTGTTCAGGTACCAGTAGAGAAGGATGACTCCTTGTTCTCCTAATTCATGTACAGTATTTTGTCCCAGCAGTAGTAAAGACCTAACTCTGTTCTTAGGAAAGAAAGACAAAATAAGACAGTCTAGTTCAGAAACGAGCTGAATGTGTAACTTCTCAAACTGACTCGATTCCATAACTCAGACGAGGTTTCTGGGTGGTGACTGAGTACTCTGTTAGTGCTGTCTTTGTGCCATTCATTGTCTGGTTCATATTTCTTTGCTGTTAGAGGGTATACTTTTCTTCAAAAAAATTTCTAATGTCACTTTTGTACTTTTTTTTATAAAGTATGTTTAACTGTGGGACTCTCAATCTGAAATTTCAGTGTTTTTAAAAATTTTCTATAATGTTAATAGGGAATAAGCAATAAACTTAATTTATTTATATTAAAAAAAAAAGATTTGTTTAGGGTCAGCGGTGGTTAAGGTGGCCAGATCCTACATGGCTCACCACAATTTGAGTCCCAACGTGGTGGCTTAAAAAACAATCCAGACACGTGTGTATGCATGCCCACTATTCTTTTTTTTTTTTTTGGAGAGGTTTTCGCTACAGGGCACGTGCACTTGCCAGACAGACAGAAAGAGACATAGAGACAGAAAGCGAGAAATCACCCCCCAGAGGGGATGGTCACACCGCAATCCCCTCTCCTCCATTCTCCTCTCGGGATCCTGGGCACGCACGCACGCGTGCCCAGCGTGAGTTTTAAGCCACCAGGTCCAGGACGCGAACCGCGGTCGGCTACGTGGGAATCCAGCGACATAGCCATTATGCTAACTGCTGGTTCCCAATGCCCAATATTCTGAAAGAAGGGAGAAATGGAGAAGGGATGGCAGCATGACCATCCCCGCTTCATGAGTGCTTTCTCACTTTCACCCCCTTTCTAACTGTCTCTGGCAAGTGCAGTTAATTTCTTGCAAATTAAGGGGAAAAAAAAAAAAAGATTTACTTAATCTGGCCAACTCCATGGCCTTGTGGGTAAGGCAGCCGGATCACTCATTGCCAATTGAGCTATTCAAATCTGGGCCCTAGGGCTTGAAAAATACACTGGGCATGTGCCCAAGATCCTAACAAGCTAGAGAAATGGAGGAGAGGGGATTAAAGTGTGATCATGCCCCACTGGGAGATGGTTTTTCTCTCTCTCTCTCTTTTTCTGTCTCTTTGGTCAAAGAAAAAAGAAAAAAAAATCAACAAATACTCATTAAGCTCTACTATGTGGAAGGCATTGAGGTATAAGTATGAAAAGGCCCAGCTCAGATTCTGACAATGGAGACAGATGTGCAAATCACCAGTTTGTATGGCTAAATACAGTAAAAGCCTAGGATAAGCAGGACAAGCCACACCAAATTGTTGCCTCCCTATGAGAGGCCAGTGGGGTCTATGAGAGAGTAGACTTCTAGAGGCAGTCTTCTCTGTTGGAGATAACCCCACCTCACTTACTCCAAGGACTAAGTTTAAATTTCCTGTTTATTCATTTCCCTGAGCTGTAAATAGCAGTTATCTATAGCTGAAGAGAATCATCTTAATATTCTCTAAATTCCAGATTTGTTTTACTATTTTAGCTCATCTGAAAAAAAAAAATAACAGTAGATGAATAGTTGTTAAATTCAGTAACAAAATATGCATTAATTCTCTTGGGAAAGTCCGGTAAAGTTGCATTGTGATGTCAACGCTGGCCTTGTTCTCAGGAAGAACTTTGTTCTTGAGGGCCGAAATGTTCTAGCCCATAACCTTCACATTTTCATTCCTCTGTAAGCCTGCAGATTATGACCTCAAAGTAAGAACAGTTTTATAACCCAGGGTTAATTTGGACTGGTGGAATGGGGGGAAAAATAAATTTAAAAAGCACCATCAATAATAACAGTTATATGTAGTAATGAGTTACTTAATTATTTCAGGTAAATGAGTAATAGTCTGTTTAAAGACAATATGAGGGCCAGCAAATGGCATGCTGGTTAAGGAACTGAACTGTAACATGGTCAACTATGGTTCAAGTGCCAGAATTGGCAATTTGCTTTCTCTCTCTCTCCTGATCAAATTGAATAATAACAAAATTAAATAATTCAGGGCCAGCAGGTAGTGTGGTTCTTAATGGCGCTGGACTCCACATTGTTGACTGCAGTTCGAATCCCAGACCTGGAGACTTGCTTTCTCACTTTCCCTCTCTCTCTCTCACTCTTGTCAAATAAAGTTAAATAGAATAATTCTTTTTTAAAAATTTTCAAAAAATAAGTTATAAAAAATAAATAAAGATACTGTGACCAATGGAAATAGCTTTTTTTCCTTCCAGAAAGGATTCTTCAAAACAATTAACTTATTGTTATTAGTTGGGATTCAGAAAACCCAGTAC